CTCTTCTTGTTTCGATACGTTCCCAGCCGCACCCCTGGCGCCGCGCACATGCCGCTGGCCATGACTTGCGTTCCTCCCCCCGCCCCCCTCCGTGTACGCCCTCGAGATTAGTAGGTTCACACTGCCCAAATAAGGGTGCCCTTGTGTCCCGTGTTTCGCGCCCCATGCTTGCCACATTCCTGCGGCAGTGTGGCTTTCGGCCTCTCGCGAGTCCTCTCCCCTCAGCCCCGACTGTAGCCGATCCGAGGGATCTGCCATCCCAGGTACCCCTCGGACCCGATATTCTTTGGAGCCCTACCCCACAACAGACGTACCCTGGAGAGGGGGCCTCAGGGCCCTCCTCGGGGCGCCCAGCAGCTGCGCTCTGGCGCCAACCGCGGCTGGAGCCGTGGCCGCTGCGAAGCCTCAGAGGGGGTACGGCGTTCTGGGGGACGTTGGGGTGCCCGTTCCCCTCACCGTCCGCCCCTCTCCCTCGCCCGAAGTATGGCAGTTTCGCGTGGTTTCCACCGGCGGCGATCCCGCCGCCGGCGTTCAACGTAGAACGCCGCCCGCGACGCTTCATGCGGGGTGCGGCGTCCTGGGGGTGCGTTTGGCCCTTCCCGACCCCGTGGGACTCGTTGTGTCGACTCGCAGCGACTCCGCCGCCGGCGTTCAATGTTGAGCGCCGCTGGCGACCCAGAATCGTTCGATGGTGAGATTCCTGACGTTTCGGAAACGGCAGATCTTGCAAGATTGAACGATCCCCGCGGTATCGGAAACCGACGCTGGGGTCGACACGATTCGAACCCGCGGTAGTTAGTCGTCTTGGGAGGCATCTTCGAGGCCACCTTTTGGAACCATCTTGGCCGCATTGGTAGCGAGTTGTCTGGTTTTTGACCGCCTTCCGCGTCCTTTCGGGTGGCCAGCGCGATCGGCCGAGACCCTCCTAGGAATCTTTACAAGAAGCAGAGCAACCAAACGTCCAGGACCCCGTGCACCTCTGTGGCAAGCAACAGGGGGTGGCGGCTCGAAGACGCCTACGGCGAAGATCTGCTGTCCCCTGCGTTTTGGAAGCTTCTATGTGGTCGAGCGTTGCGGCCATAGCTCGTTCAATGTATCGGACTAGTTATGCGTTCCAAAGCTGATGTGGAAGCCATTCGGGGAACAAGTGGGGGAGAACGAAGAGGAGGAGGAGGATGAGAGGAAGGAGACGGAGGAGGAGAAGAAGGAGGAGGAGGAGGAGGAGAAGAAGGAGAAGGAGAGGAGGAGGAGGCGGAGGAGGAGGAGGACGACAAACAAGGTGCGCTCGCGTCATATCTGGCGTCTTACGCCCCCCTCCTATCCATGGCGTAGATATCTTCTTGATTCGCACAGTCGGATGTCGCAGCAGGGCATAGCGTTGCATGGCATAGCATGGTGTTGAAGATCAACGCTTAGCCTGACATAGCATGGCGTGGCGACGCCCCAAAGTGGGAGTGTTCGCGGCCCCAAAACACAACGAGTCGACACCGAATGTGAAATCACTTTCGATGGTTGTTTCGGGGGGGGGCATTTTCTAGATTTTGGGGCCTACTTGGAAGTACCAACAACCACGCCGTGGCATGGCGCTGGAAATAATGGCGCCAGCGCTGCAGCGGGAGCACGGTTCGAAACGAACGAAAGCGCAGACATGAGGCCATCGCTGCAGCGGGAGCACGATTCGGAACGAGCGGTAGCCCGAAACTGAGGCCAGCGCTTCAGCGACAGAAGCATTCTGAAACACATCCCGAGCGAAAACCCGTTTCCCGGGAATCCAGTGTGTAAAAAGCCAGTACGCGGAGGGGGCCGAAAGATTTCCCCGACGCCACCAGGGGAGGAGAGAGGAGAGTAGTATGCACATTGTGCAGTTGTAGTTGAGGAGGGGGGGGGGAGGGGGAGGGGGAGGGGGCAAGCTAGGTGCGCTCGCGTCATATCTGACGTCCTACCCCACCCTCCCATCCCTTACCATGGCGCTGATTTTCTCTATCCGCGGACGCGTGTCGTAGCGGACCTGTGGCTCCGCGCGCGCGTGCGTAGTGGGTGGTGGTGCGCGTGCGTGCGTGCGTGCGTGGTGCGTGTGTGCGTGGTTGTGGCGGTGGTGGTGGTGGTGGTGGGTGCTGGTGCTGGTGCTGGTGGTGGTGGTGGTGGTGGTGGTGGTGGTGGTGGTGGTGGGCGGCGCGGTGGTGGCGGGCGGATGGGCGCGCGAGAAAGAGGCCCGCGCTGGGGCGAGAACGCCATCCTGAACGACGGAGGCCAAACACCGATCCGAAAATGAGGCCCACGCTGCAGCGGGAGCACGATTCGGAACGATTCGGGAGCAGAAATGAGGCCGGCGCCTCAGCGAGAGCAGCATTTTGAAAAAAACGCAAGCGAAAACCCGTTTCCCGGGAATCCTGTGTGTAAAAAACAGTACGCGGGGGGGTGTCGGATATCTTCGGGACGCCATCAGGGGAAGTGGGAGAGTATTTTCATATTGTGTAATTGTAGAGAGGGAGGAGGAGGAGGAGGAGGAGGAGGAGGAGGAGGAGGAGGAGGAGGAGGAGGAGGAGGAGAGGAGGAGGAGGAGGAGGACAGGAGGAGGAGGAGGAGGAGGAGGAGGAGGAGAGGAGGAGAAGGAGAAGGAGAGGAGGAGGAGGAGAGAGGAGGAGGAGGAGGAGGAGGAGGAGGAGGAGGAGGAGGAGAGGAGGAGGAGGAGGAGGAGGAGGAGGAGGAGGAGGAGGAGGAGGAGGAGGAGGAGGAGGAGGAGGAGGAGGAGGAGAGGAGGAGGAGGAGGAGGAGGAGGAGGAGGAGAGGAGGAGGAGGAGGAGGAGGAGGAGGAGGAGGAGGAGGAGGAGGAGGAGGAGGAGGCCTCTTGGGAGCTTTTTTGTCACTCTTGGAGCCTCCTGGGAGGTTCCTGGGGGCCTCTGTGATGCTTTTTTGGGGCTTCCTTGGCCCTCTTGGGGACCTTTGGAGGCTTCTTGGGAGGCTCTTTGGCCGTCTGAGGGTGTTTGTTGGTTCGCTTGGCGCCGTCGGAAACTGTCCTGGGCCTCTCTGTGCCAAGTTGGGGCCATCTTTGGGCGCTTCCGGGCCGTCTCGGGGGCCATCTTGTGCGTCTTGGAGGTCTCCTGGGCCGTCTGAAGGCTCTCTTTGGGTTATCTTGAGGCCTCTTGGGCTGTCAGGGGCCATCTCTGAGGCCTCCTGGGCGCTCTTGAGGCCATCTTGGTGGCAGCGGCACACTCCGACCCGATTCCGACTTTCCGACGGTCCGATGCGTCTCGATGCTTGCATGGCGCCGCTGTGCATCCTGGCGCGGCCGATCCGAAGCGATTCCGGCCCCGTTCCGATGCAGCCCGATCCAGCGCACACGCCGATCCGATCTGAGTCCCCAATTCGGTGCTGTCCGATCTTGCGGCCTCAGGCAGCCCATCGCAGGCGCAGCGGCGCGACGGCGCAGCGGGTGAACGACGGCCGACCGAGTCGAACCGACCGAGCGCACCCGACCGCAGCCCCTGGCCGGCCGCGTTGGCGGGGCCTGGCCGGCGCGCGCGGGGGCGCCCGTGCGGGTGGCTGCCAAGGGTGCGCCTGGCCTTGGCCTATGGGGCCCCTCGGGGGCCACGTTAGGAGGGATAGGCTCGGAGGGGGGATGCATCGACCTCTCGTCGCCCATGCATCGCCGATGTTCTAGGTCTCCCAGATGGGGTCAGAGTAGATGGGGCCGGAGGATCGCGCCACATCGCCGATACATCGGCGATGCATCGGCGATGTATCGGCGATGCGGCTCGATGTGGGGCCCAATATTCTCCACGCCGACGTCGCCGATGCGTCGCCGACGTCGCCGATGCATCGCTGGTGCATCGCCGATGCATCGCCGATGCGCCGATGTATCGCCGATGCGGCGCGATCCTCCGACCCCATGTGCTCCGACCCCATCTGGGAGGCCTCTAAATGGGGGCCCGATATTCCGCCCCGCTCAGGCACTTTCGGATTCGCTATCGAGGGCCTAGCGCCGATCCATGGGCAATGCATCGCTCGATTCCAGGCAGATGCTTCACCCCCTGAGCCTGTCCTCCCCATGTCGTTACCCCTCGTGTCCCTGGCCCAGTGTCTCACTTCGATCGTTTCTTGACGGCTGAGGGCTGAAGACAGTGTACAGCCTTCGCCTTGACTATTTGCAAGCCGTTGGACCCAGGCATCCCACCACGTGGTTTCTCAAAGCGCGGCCCCAGAGGACCCGACTCCTCTCTCGGGGGGAACCTTTCGCCCCGGGCCCCACTCTGATGGCCCTGGGTCCCGAAGACGGCCCCCCCTGAGGCCGAGAACGATGAAGCATGCACAGATCGACAACAGCATGGCTATCATCGGAGATCTTCGGGGGGGCCGAACATGTGCCAGTACCGCTAATCCCTGGAACTCTCCAGAGGTGCGTTCTGGCCAGAATGTCGAGGCGAGCCCAGCCGTGGCGATGAGGGAAGGGTACTGTGGTATCTGTATTTCTTTCACTTCGAAGATCTGGGCCGGATGTCGAAAAATCACGACTGGAATCCCAGACTTCACCATCTTTCTGCTGTATCTCTCGAGCCGACTTTATGTGATGGCCCCGGGTCCCGAAACCAGGCCAAACATCGCTCGGTGTGAAAAACTTGCACTGCCAGGATCTCAGGGCGGATGTCTATACAGTGGGGGCCCATGCCAAGAAACACCCTGCTTGCCTCCAGGGTGCCCTGGGTTTCTTGGGTTTCGATGGTTTTGCGATGGAATGCGTGGCGTTCCCACACCACAGACCAGTGGACGTCCTGGGCTCTCAGGGTTGGGTTTCTTGTGGAAGGTTTCTCGTGGACTCGCCTCCACAGCAGGGTCATCCTTCCTCCCCCTCGGCTCGTTGGGGTGCTCTGACGTTCCCGTGCGCCCTTCTGGACTGGCCTCCACTGCACACGGGGCTACCTCCGTGGCAGCCCCCCCGCCCTGTGAGCGATGGGGCGGCCTGGGCCCGCGCTGCCCGTGCGGGAGGGCGGGCCCCGGCGGCCATGGCCTCGGCGGCCACGCCGCCCTCGGCGCCGGCCACGCCGTCCGCGGGCGTGGCGGACCTGCTGGGCCCGCCGCTGGACGTGCTGCCCCGCAGCATCGAGCCGCAGGACGTGCGACGAGGGGAGGATCAGCTCTCGTCATTCCCCTCCTCCTCCTCTGGGCGATCGGGCGCTCTCCTCCGCGTCCTCGTCCTCGTCCTCGTCGTCCTCCCTTCTCCTCGTCCTCGTGGTCCTCATCCCTCTCCCGCCTCTCTTCTCCTGGGCGCTCGTCTTCAGTCTCCGCCCTCTTCAGCCCGCCCCCTTCTCACCCCCTCACTCCCCCTCCTCGCGCTGCGAGAAACAAAGTTGTTGACGCTTGACGTATCCCCACCCGATCCGCTACGGGCGCCGCCCGCCCTAGCACGCTCGGCGTTCGACTCGTTTCGCGCGTCCGCGGACCGAAACAACTCGCCATCAGACCATCTAAAAACAGTCGCCAGGCGAGTTGCCTGTATGACGGGTTTGCAGCAGTGACGACGACGAGGACGATGACCACAGGAGTAATCCATCAAGGCCTTGCGGATCTTTCGCTTTGGGAGTCTCTTGAAGGCTTCTTTGGGCAATGTCTGAAGCTTGTGTGTGTGTGATTTGGTTGGCAGGAGGCCTGGTTGGTCGCCGCTCGACTGGGGGAGGGGGTGTTTGTTTGTCGGAGGTTGGGGGGTGAGATCGCAGTGAAACGGAGACCCCCCACCGGGAAATCGGTTTCGGTTTCGTGTTCGTGTCGTGCGTGCGGGCGAGGCGAAGCTGCGCGTGATCCTCCTGTAGCTAGGCCGAAGTAGGAGCGAAAGTCCGTTCCCGTCCGCCGGTGGCTGGGAGGTGCCCCAGTTGGGCCAGGCGGTGTCCCGGGTGTCCCAGGTGCCAGCAGGAGCGAAAGTCCGTTTCCCGTCCGCCGGTGGCCGGGAGGTGTCCCAGGGCGGTGTCCCGGGTGTCCCGGGCGTTCCAGCGCTAACGCATGTCGTTAATTTCATAATTCATGTTTTTTGGCGCTTGCGGCGGGCTTTCTTATCCAATCCAGCTTATCTTATCCAATCCATGTTGTCCAATCCAATCCATCTTATATTATCCAACCCATCTTGTCCCATCTTATCTTTTCCCACCGAATCCAATCCACTCAACCCAATCCATCAATTCATTTGTTTCTGCGCCTGCGGCGGGCCAATCCTATCCATCTTATCTGGTCCAATATATTTTTTCAAATCCAACCCATCTTATCTTATCCAATCCATATTATCCCATTGAATTTAATCCACCCAACCCATCGTGAGATCGACAGTGCGATTCACCGATCTTATCGCCCGCAGGGCGGTCGTATAGGTAAGGAACCGTGATGGACCCCTTCCCGAAGGTGAAGACAGAGGTTGGAAGAGGAGGTTCCCTAGACCACTTGACGCCCTGAAGGGCTGGCGAGACTGTTTGTCGCAGCCCTGACGATCATTCAGCGCTGTCGGAGCGGCAAACCTGCACGCAGAAACGCCAATTTCAACACGGGAGGCGTAAGGAGGGAGGGGGGCGGCCGCGGGGGGAGGGGGAGGGGAGGAGCGAAGGTATAGACGCGAGCTCAGATCATGTTAAACTTCGCTTATATACAGCGAAACAAACACAACTGATGCTTGATTATTCAAAATATCTTGCATATGTACATATAGATGTATGGATGGATGTGCTTATGCATACTTAAGCATGCATAACTACATACGTAGACATACTGCATTTCAACAGATCGGCCTGTAGGGCCCTCACTGGGCCCCCCAGGACTGCTGAACGTCGGCTGGGTATGAGAAGCCAGTGCCCTAAAAGAGGTCCAGACCTCCAGGGGTCCTCGGTGTGAAGAGATGACGACGTGAGAGTTCTGGGTGCGTCCAGGCCTCTCCCAACGTCGAAGAGAAACAGCAGAAGTATTCATTTTCGGACGTCTGCGCGGTCTTCTTGAAGCGGCGCTGGGCCCCTCTCCTGCGCTCCGCGCGCGACGCCGCTCCTCTGGCGAGAGATGCTGGTTCAGTGGAGACCCATGCCAAGAAACACCCTGCTTGACTCTAGGGTGCCCTGGTTTTTCCCCGTATCCTAAGTATGGGGTTCTTGTTATTGGCGCACCGCGCCGGAAGAACAGAGAGAGAACAGAACACCACTCCTCTCACTCAGACCCACTCACTCATCACTCAGACTCACTCATCACTCAGACCCACTCATCACTCAGACTCACTCATCACTCACTCTCACCCATCACTCGGACTCAGTCATGACTCAGACTCATCACTCATCACCCAGACTCACTCATCACTCAGACTCACTCATCACTCAGACTCACTCGTACTTGTACTCATACATTCACTACACTCACTCAGGTCCACTCATCGGATGACTCACACACACACTGATGTTGAGGATGTCTCAGGCGATTCTGTAGCTTCAGCACTCCTAAGGGGAGCGGCGGGGGGGTGTTTCACTCGGCCCCTTTCGCAGGATTTTGTGGGGATGCCTCGAGCGGTTTGCTTCGATGCTCGTTTTGGGGACCTTCCTGGGGGCCACCTAATGGATCTGTTCGACTCAGGTTCGACTCAAGTTCGGCTCAGGTTCGACTCAGATTCGACTCAGATTCGACTCAGGTTCGACTCATGTTCGACTCAGGTTCGACTCAGTTTCGACGCAGCTTCGACGCACGAGTGGAGCGAGTGGCTGCAGGAAGGTCCCCAGAATGAGCATCTAAGTTTGCCTGTGTTCTGTCCCAACATCCTTCGCTTTCGGAGCAGATTTGGAGGATGTCTCGAGCGAGGCGCTCATTTTCACGTTCCTAAGGGGAGCGGCCGGGGGGTGTTTCACTCGGCCCCTTTCGCAGGATTTTGTGGGGATGTCTCGAGCGGTTTAACTGTGCTCTGTGCCAACATCCTTCGCTTTCGGGGCAGATTTGGAGGATGTCTCGAGCGAGGCGCTCATTTTCACGTTCCTAAGGGGAGCGGCGGGGGGGTGTTTCACTCGGCCCCTTTCGCAGGATTTTGTGAGGATGTCTCGAGCGGTTTGCCTGTGTTCTGTGCCAACATCCTTCGCTTTCGGGGCAGATTTGGAGGATGTCTCGAGCGAGGCGCTCATTTTCACTTCCCAGGTGGGCCAGATTTTAAGGATGCCTCGATCGGTTTGCTTGTTTTGGTGGCCAGGCTCGTGGGCGCAGATTCTTCTCAGGATGCCACAGGAGGCTCCCACAGGCTCCAGGAGGCCCCAGGAGACCACATGAGGTCCCAGGAGGCATCAGGAGGCCACAGAAAGACTCAAGAGGCCACAGGATGTCCCAAGAGGCTCCAGGAGGCCCCAGGAAGCTCCAGAAGGCCTCAGGAAACCACAGGAGGCCCCAGGAGGCAACAGGAAGCGCCAGGAGGCCTCGGAAGGCAACAGGAGGCCCCGAGAGGCCCCAGGAGCAGGAGGCCTCAGAAGGCAACAGGAGTGGCTCCAATCCCATGTGTTTTACGTATGCTCCTATCGATTGGGCCTCACCTGGAGCGCGATTCTTTGATGTTACATGTATGTTTCTATAGATTGTCCTTCTCCTGTGTACACAATCCTACATGTTTTACTTATGTTCCTATATATTGGGCCTCTCCTGAGGCACGAATCCTTAGTGTTTTACGCGTGTTCCTATAGATTTCCCTTCTCCTGTGGCTCTAATCCGCAATGTTTTCTGTACGTCTGTTGCTATATCTTGCGCCTCTCCTGGGGCACGAAGCCTCCCTAGGAGGTCCCAGGAGGCCCCAATAGGCTCCTGGAGACCCCAGGAAGCCCCAGTAGGTTTCAGGAGGCCCCAGGAGGCCCCAGGCTCATGCACAGAGACGCGCTCGTACTACTGAGGCTCATTCACACTCCAATTCATTCGCAGTTAGATTTATGTCCAGACCGTCACAGCTGAAGCCCGTTTCTATTCGAAAGCTCTTGCGCCTAGACATTCACGGCGGACAGGTCCATGCGAATATATGCACATATGGGGAGCTCCACGCAGTGAATAATTTCTGGGTTTCGATTGTTTTGCGATGGAAGGCGCGGCGCTCCCACACCACACGCATCAATGGACGTCCTGGGCTCTCAGGGCTAGGTCTCTTGTGGAAGGTTTCTTGTGGACTGGCCTCCACAGCAGGGTCAGCCTTCCTCCCCCTCGGTTCGTTGGGGTGCTCTGACGTTCCCGTGCGCCCTTGTGGACTGGCCTCCACTGTAGATGGGGTACCTCCGTGGCAGCAGGAGGAGGAGGAGGAGGAGGAGGAGGAGGAGGAGGAGGAGGAGGAGGAGGAGGAGGAGGAGGAGGAGGACTGGCCTCCACAGTAGGATCAGCCTTCCTCCCCCTCGGTTCGTTAGGGTGTTCTAACGTTTCCGTGCGCTCCTGGGGGTGTGCCCGCCTCGGGGGTGCGTTCCAGCAGCCGCGCCTCGTCGAGGGGGCGCCCCAGGGGGGAGTGCCCGAGCCGTCCCGAGCGGCCGCCCGATGCCCGAGTTGTGGCCGGAGGCCGGTCCTTCGCCCTCGTGTGGTGCGTTCTCGCTTCGAAGAGAGCACTGTGGTCTCCGTCCTCCCTCCTCCTCCCCCCCGCCTCCCCCCCCCCCCCCCTCCTCCTCCTCCTTCCGCCGCCTCCTCCTCCTCCTCCCCTCCTGCTCCGCTCCTCCTCCTCCTCCTCCTCCTCCTCCTCTCCCCGCCTCCTGCCTCCTGCCTCCTGCCTCCTGCCTCCTGCCTCCTCCTCCTCCTCCTCCTCCTCCTCCTTGCCTTCCTTGCTCATGCCTTCCTACTGCGGGGCTGCGAACTGCGCACTCGTCGCCTTTTTCGTGGGATCCTGGGAGGTCCAGCGGATGGAGGTGAACGCGGACCCAGCCGAGACCTCGCGGCTGGCGGCCCCCTGGGGTGTCTGCGAATTGCGCACCTGTCGCCACATTCGTGGGCTCCTGTGTGGTCCAACGGAGTGGAGTTGTACGCGCATCCAGCCGAGACCTCGCGGCTTCCTGGTAGGCTGCCGGCTGCGCAACGGTCGCCGCCTTCGTGGGCTCCTGGAAGGTCCAGCGGAGGCGTTGGCAGGCGAGACGTCGCGGCTCCCTGGAGGCAGGAACTGCGCAACCGTCGCCATTTTCGTGGGCGCCTGGAGGTCGGGCGGAGGAGATTGTCATCGCAACTTGCATGGGGCCTTCATGTAAATAGTCGCCTCGCGTGAAGAAGCAGTTGCCCCCCCAGCCGCCCACTCGATGCCCGGGTCTCTCACCCAACCCATGCGCGTCCAGTGTTTCCCACCGAGGGAGGGCCCATCGCAGACCTATCGGCGATGTACCGTAGGTTCCAAGCCTCGGCGGCGCGCCAGGGAGGACGTGAGAGGGGGCAGGCCTTCTCAGAAGGCGGCGGGGCTTCTGGGGTCTTCGAGGCAGGCTTCGGCAAGCTTCGTGGGCCTTCTGAGCCTTCTGGGGAGGCCCGCCCCCTCTGCCTTCCCCTCTGGGCGCGCCGCCAAAAGCTATAGATTCCCCCCCTGGGCCAGTCCCCCCCCCCGTGCGGGCGGAAGGGGGGGGGAGAGCGGAGCAGGAGCGGAGCAGGAGCGGGAGCGGAGCAGGAGCAGCACCAGGTGGCGTATTTGGGGCCCCTCCTGCACGCGGGGCCGCTGTTGTGGTCGCCATGGTCGTGGTCGCCATGGGCGTCGTCGTCGTCGTCGTTGGACGAGGCCGGCGAAGATGAGGGCGGGGGCGCGGGCGAGGGCGGCAGGGCCGGCGAGTCCGGCGAGGCCCGGGGGCCGAGGAGGTCCGAGGGCCGCTGCGCGGGCGAGGTCCGACGAGGGGCGAGAGCGAGGGCGCCGAGCAGAGCGCCCGAGGGCGGGGGAGGACGCGTCGTCCCCGTCGGTGCGCCTCGTCGCCGGCCTGTCCCTCGTCCTCTCCGTCGTGCGCCGTCCTCGCCCTCCTCGTCGCCAGCCTCGCCGTCGTCGCTCGCCGCTCGTCGTCCTCGCCCGTCGCCCTCCTCGTCGCCGACTTCTCGTCGCCCTCATCGCCCTCGTCGTCGTCGTCGTCGTCGTCGTCGTCGTCGTCGTCGTCGTCGTCGTCGTTCGTCGTCCTCGTCCTCGACCTCTTCGTCGCCGACCTCGTCGTCGACGTCGTCGTCGTTAAGCTCGTCGTCGCCGACGTCGTCTCCGACGTCGTAGTCGCCGACCTCGTCGTCGTCGTCGGTCCCGCCGCAGGAGCTGCACGACTACCGCGTGGACTACCAGGCCTTCCGCTCTGGGCAGGCCCCTCGGGCGCGGGGCGCCCAACCTGCGGGGGCCCCCGCATGGTGCGGCGGCCACACCGTGTGATGAGTCAGTGGCGACCGCACGGCTTTGGGGACTCGGGTCGTTCTCCGAGGACGTCTCGGCCACTGTCGAGCAGTGGCAAAGCGTTTTGGCTTGCCTGTAGGCCCACCAAAGAGCCGTTCGTGGTCTGCACGAGCTGTTCTTAGAATATTTCTGGCTGAAGCTGTCTTGGATTCATTAGAAAACATGTGGGTTCTAAGAACGTTTCGTGGTGGGTTTATGGGATTGTCGGGACGGTCGGTCCCGGCTCAACGCCGGGGTCTCCAAGATCCCCCAAACCGTGCGGCGACGGCTCGTGCGGCGAAGTATCTATTTAGGGATTTCGAGGTCACCGCACGGTCTGTCACCGCGCCGTTTTGGGACCCCGAGTTGGAGTTCCCCAGGAACTCAGAAGCGTTCCACAGTCAAGGGAGGGAAAACCACCCGGACCCGACAATTGGCGTTAGCTAAACGGCCCTGGGCGTTTACTAAACAGCCCTGCCCTGTTCGATTCCTTCATTGGGTGCGTTTACTAAACGGCTTCGTTTGACGGGGTGGTTCGTATCGGGGTGGATTTTCTGCCCTCTACAGAGACTCGAAGCAGCAGCAACAGGACCGCCTCGAGGGCAGATGCAGGGCAGACGTCAGGAGACCCGGACCCTCGAGCGATCGAGCCGCGTGGACTCACGCGTTTAGATCAGATGGGGTCGGAGGATCGGCCGCATCGCCGATGTATCGGCGATGCGGCTCGATTTGGAGTCCGATTATCTCCACGCCGACGTCGCCGATGTATCGCCGAGGCGTCGCCGGCGGTGCATCGGCGATGCGGCGCGATGATCCGACCCCACGTGCTCCAGGCCCATTTGGGAGGCCTCCAGACAGACGTCAGAAGACCTCGACCCTCGGGGGCGATCGAGCTGCGGGACAGGAGCGCGTCTGCAAACCCAGACGTCCCGACGATGGGTGATTTTCCTATCTGCGCGCCAGAGGTCTCGATCCCTTCCTTCACTAGGCCCAGTTTCTTCTCCTCCCAGCTCCGCTTTGCATGCGAAGATCCGCGACGGAAAGACTCTCCTCGCTGTGCAGCCTGCGCGAGGGTCGAGATCGTAACGGGTACCCTCTTAACGGGTACTTTGGAGATTTGCCGAAAGTTGTCTCTTTTGGGCCTCTTCCTGGTATTGCCGCGTTGCCCACATCGGGGAGGGTCGGGTTCGCTGGGTCGCCGGCCAAAGTACCCGTTAGTGGAGTCCCCGTGAGAGGGGCCCCGGCTCCGGAGAGGCCCCCTTGTGCTCTTCACGCCTGGGCGCTGCACCTTGCAGCGCTCTTGGCCTGGGTCGTCTCCATCGGGCCCCAGACCTCCGGCGAAGGGGCTCGCGCCCTTGGCTTGCGCCCTCCAGGGGCCCCCAAACGGTGCGGTGGGATTCGCCACGACGATCGGAGAACGTATCCGTGTCCGCGCCCTCGCGGTCTGGATTCCGGGGCGCGATCCCGCGGATGCAGGACGCACAGTTTCCTTCCGCGCGACATCCGCGAAAAAACGCCCCGTGCCCGCGAAGTCGCTGTCCAGGGGGCCCCGCCCGCGAGGCCACGAGTATGATGGATAGATGCTTCGCCCACGAATGTGGGGTCGCCGCGCGGTTTTTTGGGACCTGGTTCGTTCTCCGAGGACTGTCTCGGGCGACCGGGGCCATCCGTAGAGGTCCCCAAAGAGGGCCCGCACTTGTGGCCACGCTTCGGCTGACCCCCCCCCGGGCAGGCGCAGGGCGCCCGCGGGGAGCTCGCCGACCTGCGCACCAGGCCGCCGCACTCCGCGGCGCCGCCCCCGCGCTCGCACGAGGACCACCGCCGCGGCCAGGAGCGCCAGGGCCCCGGCGCCCAGGCGCTGCGGCGGCACGGCGCCGACGGTGGCGGCGCCCGCGGCGCCGGCGCCGACCGGGTCGGACGAGCGTCGAGGCTTTTGGCTCTCGGACGTTTTCGTCGGTTCCCGGCGGCGTCCCGTCCCCAGGATGCTCTCCAGCAGCTGCGCCGAGAGCGTTTCGGGGGTGCCTTTGGATCGTCCCGAATGTCTCCTGGAGTGAGGATCCGAAAGCCAGACGAGGAGGACCACTCGGGGGCTGCGGCTAAGGAAACAGTGGTTTACGACAGTTGCTGCATGCAGCTGGTCTCGGCCCCTCCAATGGGCGCTCTCCTCGATGCATGACCGCCTCTGGCGCCAGGGTGCGCGGGGAAAGCCAGGTGCATAAGCTCATTCGCGAACCCCCGGTTTCTACTCCCTCCCTTTCGTTCGACCCGAGCCGACGGTGCCGACGGCGCCGGCGGACCACGGCGTCGACGACGACAGCGGCGCCGAGGTTGACGGCGCCAGCGGAGCACCCCCGGAGGTCCTGGCGCCGCAGTTTCTCCACTGTCGGGCGCCTTCGCCGGATCTCGGGCCCTGGGGCCCCTGGCAGATCGATCCAGCTCGAGAAGCGCTGCAGAGAGGGTCTAATTAGGGCTCCGGGCGTTGGCCCTCAGATTCAGGCGACGCAGCACGGCCCCGAGGGACGTCGAGGCAGACACACATGTCTCGGGTTTCATGTCGGCGCCGACCTTGGTCGTGGTCGCTGCCTGCAGTCACCGACTCGCGATGCTGTTCCACGAATCGACGGTGACCAGCCAAGATGGACGGTGACCAAGATCGACACCGACGTTTTCGTGTTCAGTCTTGGTTGGAAGAGGAAGATGCGGAGGAAAGATGATGAAAAGAAGGAGGAGGAGGAGGAGGAGGAGGAGGTCATGGTCACCGTTCGTGTTCTCTCCAGCATGGGTCGAGATCCCTTGGGACCCGTGCCGGCCAAACAGCTGCGGCGTCGGAGGAGAGGGGGCGGCGACAGCGGCGACGACGACGCCGACAGACCACGGCGCCGACGGCGACCTGGGCCACAGGGCGAACGGCGGCGGCGTCGAGCCGCCTCGGTCAGGGGTAATGTTTGGGGGGGTCGACTCCGTTGGGCAGCCCTCGATGTCCCACAGATCGCCGACAGGGGCCCGACAACCCACCCCGCCCCAGGACCGTGCGGCTTCGCTCTCGGGGGCGTACCGCCGAACTATCGGCGATGTATCGCCGATTCCAGCTCGATGTTTCCCCCGCTGAGCGGGTCCACCCCTTCCTGTCCCCATTCGCTCGAAGATGTGTTTGTGTTGTTGGTGCGCCTGGTGGGGGGGCTCCTCGTCGACAAAGGTTGGGCGCGGCTCTGAAGACCTGCCATGGGGTGGACGCTTGTTTCTTGTGGGCCTTCCTGGTGGGTTGGTTCGGCCCTGGTTAGAATCTAGTTCGGATCTAGTTCGACTTTAGGCCGACTCAAGTCTGGCTCGGGTTCGACTCAAGCCGGACTCAAGTCGACGGACGTTCGACGCAGCATCGACGCGTGAGTGGAGCGACTGGCTCTAGGGAGGCCCCCAGAGCGAGCACCTAACGGGGCTGGGTCCCAGGTAGGGGTCCAGGGCTCGGGTGTTGCCAGGAGTGATCCTGGCCCAAGGTGCCCCCCTGCCTTCCGAGCCACCTTGGAGCAGACTGCGCAGTCAAGTCAAGGAGACCACCTAAAAAGTAAGACCCCCCCAAAAGTACAGGAGACCCTCACAAAAAGTAAAGGCTCCACGACCAGAAGTAAAGGAGACCCCCCCAACGAGTAAAAGAGGCCACCCGGGGCCCTCTGGGCCTCGTGAGGGGCGCTCCGCAGGCTGTCTGGGCCTCGCCGGGAATCCTGGGGGCACCTTGGGCCAGGAACGCCCTGGGGTCGGGCAGGCCGCCCCACGCACTGCCGTGATAGAAGAGCACACTCGTTGCGAGTCCGGCTGGAGCGCCGGCGTGATCTGGCAATGCATGTCTCCACTGCGTCTGCGCGCCACAGTTGGCGCGCACGGCTCGCGAGAGCGAGAGAGAGAGAGAACGGGGGAGTGGTTCTGAGAGGATTCTTGGACACGGCGCCGACGGCTCTGCGGCGCCCAGGCGCGCGACCGGACCACGTCGAGCGTGGAGTGCTACTACAGCGCCGTGGCCGTTTGGCTGGCCCCTGGTGAGGGTCGGCGCCGAGCGAGAGGGGCCAATGCTGAGGAAGAGGCCTTCTCAGAAGGCGGCGGTCAGTATCGTTTAACTGATCCCCATCCCCACCCACATCCCCTTCGAGACCCCAACCGAATTACCACCCCAGTTGGGGATACACCCCTCGAAACCCGAAGGGAACGGCCTATATCTATATCCCCATTTAGGGGGATAAATCAGCCAGTGGGGCCCAGGCCACGCCGCTGGGGGTGGGGGTCGGATAAACGATGCTCATTCTCAGAAGGCGGCGGGATTTCTCAGAAGTCCTCGCGCCTTATGAGAAGTTTTTGTTGTCTCCGGGCCGGGGGACTTTTCCGAACCCGTGAGAAGGCCTTCTCTTTGTCACCTCCCCCCCTCGCTCGCCGCCGACCTGGCGAGGGCGGGGGGGAGCGCCGCACACGGGGCCCCTGAAGTTGGGGCGCAGGTCTCCTTGGCGGCGCGCACGGGGGGGCGTCGCGAGGAGGGGGGCCCTCTGAGAGGGTGGGGGGCTTCTGTACCACTTCCTTGATCCCATCCCTGGCGGTGTATATTATGTCCTTGGGACCCGCAGGGGCCTTCCCGGAAGCGCCCCGATGCCTCTCAGACGGCTTCGTAGAAGCTCGGAGGAAGCGCTTCTAGGGAGCCTCCTGCCTTCGTAGCAGCTCCCGCGCCCTCTCAGAAGGCCGCCCCCCTCGCGACAAAACCCCGTGCGCGCGCCGCCAATCTCCAATCTCTTTCGCCGCGATCGGCGTCTGGAGGCCGGTTTCGGGCTCTTGGGGCCATCGCGAATCGGGCGGGGCCAGGACCGCGATGAATCGTCAAAAAACGCTGCGGCACGTTCTCAGAGCGTTCGAAACGCTCTGGAACGGCCGCGGCGCCCAATACATCTTCCAGAATTGCTAGAGCTCAGAGGTCCCCGACTCGTCTCAGTCCGATTTTTCCCCTGCCTTGGGAGGGGGCAGAGGTCGAGGCGGAAGTCCTTCGCCGTGATCGGCTTCTGGAGACTGGTTTCTGGCTCTGTCAGAGGCAGCGTTAGGAGGGGTAGGCTAAGGGGGTGGGGATGTATCGACCCCCATCGCCCAAAGATCGCCGAGAGGGGCCCGATAGCCCACCCCGCCCCAGGACCGTGCGGCTTGGCTATCGGGGGGCCAATCGCCGATCTATCAGCGATGTGCCGCCGATTCCAGGTCGATGTTTCCCCTCCTGAGTTGCTGCCCGCTCCCCCCCCCTCTCGTTCCCACTCGGTCCGGGGCCATAAAGGAACCAGCCGTGATGGAAAGCTTGTCCCCAGGAGAGTAGTCAGCAAGGTCCGGGGCGGTCCACGCGTTGTGCATATCAAGACTTGAAGGGCGTTTTTGTTGTTCTCTCTCACTCCTGCTTTTTCTCTGCCTCTCTTTGTCTCTCTTTCTGGAGGGACCCGCTAAACCATATATATATATATATATATATGTATGTGTATATATCTATATATATATATATATCATGGCTCAAGCCGTAGCCCGACGGCCCCCCCGCGGCGCGTGGATGCAGGCTGCATGCAGCTCCGGTGGCTGCCCGGCGCAGGCGGCGGCGGTGCAGGCCATGGCGCTCGCGGAGTGCCCGGCCCTCGCTCCATCCGGCCTGGCGGAGGCCCCCGGGGGGCGCCGCTCGGCCACAGCGGGATCCCGAAAGCACTCACCCTCCGCCCGCGGAGCCCCGAGGGCAGCGAAAACCAGACGCTGCGGGAGGAGGCGCGCTGCTCGCTGCCGAAGCCGCCGGCGGTGACACTGGTGCCGGCTCACCAGATCGCCGCCCGGAAGGCGGCCGACCTGAACCTGCAGATCGCGGAGACGATGGCCAGGATCAGGCTGGAGCAGCGCGGGCCTCCGCCGATCGGGACTTGGAAGCGTCCGCGGATCTCGAGCTCTCAGCCGGCACCGTCGACGCCGACGCCGACGGGACCCCCGAGATCACTGGCGATGGCGCGCTCCCCGCTGAAGGAGGCTGCGAAGCAGGAGATCGCGCCCGAGCAGCAGGAGATCGTGAAGCCGTAGCTGGCCACGATGAAGGAGGCTGAGAAGCAGGAGATCGCGCCCGAGCTGCAGGAGATCGCGAAGCCGCAGCTGGACGCGATGAAGGAGGCTTCGATGCAGGAGATCGCACCCGACCAGCAGGAGGTCGAGCTGCCGCAGCTGGACGCGCTGACAACGAAGCGGGAGCTATTGAAGCAGGAGCTCACGGCGCTGCTGCGGAATCGAGCTCAGGATTCCGCCGTAACGATGCCGGCCTTGGCGGGGACAACGTCTTCCTCTGCATTCACGAATCCTGCCTCGAGGAGTCCTGTTGCGAGTCCGGCGCCGCTGGTGGCCGAGGCATCGTCGACGACCCGGGCTGCCCTGACCAACCCGACCAGGCCCACCGAGGACGCGGGGGTCTCGCTGCCGAAGGGGCCCCTTCAGGCCGCCGAGCTGACGCTGGACGCGATCATCACGTATGCGGACGATGCGCTGTTGCTGTTCTCCGAGAGCTCGCCCCTACGGGTGCAGAAGCCGAGCTCAGCGGATGCGTCCATGGAGCTTCGGCCGGAGAAGCGGAGGAGCCCGCCTGCACCGCCACCGGAGCCGGACCTGGTGAGCGAGCCGGACTGGAGCGAGTAGCTCCTCTCGGGGGGGCTGCGCCCCCCGACGGTACCTCTACCAGCACGGCCACTGCATTGGACGAGGCGGAGGCCCCTCTGCTGGACCTCGTCGGCATGTGGTGGGAGGACGCCATTGTCCCTGTGGGACTGCTCACCATGGAGTTCTTCCCGCAACAACAGGTGCCACAGGAGGCGCCTCCTCCTGCCGACGAAGTCGCTGACGGGACCGAGCCTCCCGCTGCCGATCCACTGTGCCATGAATCGTGCACGGCGGCGGAGGCCACCTACGCGAGTGGTTGGTGCCCGACATCGCCGTGCTCGCGCACGGCGTACCTGGAGGCGCTGACGGTCCTGCGGGCGCTGGCTGAGGCCCCCGGTTCGGACCCGAAGGATGTCTTGAGCCTCCTGGACGCCAACGCGCAGATTGTCACGCAGCAAGGGGTTACCCGCAGGGACCGTGATCAGGTGCGCCAGGGGGTGGGGCTGGCGCGGGCAGCAGAGCTCCTTCCTTCGGTAGCGCCTGGCTGGGTCTGTGGGCTCAGCGCTGGGTGCCTCCACTGGGAGCTGACGGTGAGGCGCGCGCGCGAGTGCGTGTCCGCACAGGGCGCCGCCGGGGATTTGCCGTCTTGCCGAGGTGGGATCGCCGCCCTGAGGCCGCGCTCGGTGCGGGCTTCGCGCCCAGGCTGCGCACGTCTCGTTCGCCGTCGACCTCTTCTTTTCCGGTTTGGCTCTTCGTCCTCCGCTGCATCCTGCTTTCCCTGTTCCGCGTCTACGTCAACTTTTTCGATTTCAACATCTTGATATAACAGGGCCGCTTGACCCTTTTCGCTCAGGCTGCGATGGTTCTCGTTTCGTTCTCTCTGGACTGTGTGGGCAGTCCTTCCTCCTGTATTCGGGGACGCTCTGCATCTTCGTCAACGCATGGGTCGATGCACATGTCTGGGTGTGCGCCATCTGCCATCCAGACCCTACGAGGCCGCTCGCATTTTGCTGCCGCTTGACACAGAGGGCACTGACTTTGATGAGCTGCTTGGCGACCTGTGGCGTTGGATTCCTGCGGTGGTACTCGCGCCTTCAGCCGGCGAGTGGGCCGGACCCGCTCTTTTCTTGTCGTTTTGCCTCGTGTCGTCTTGTCTCGTCGCTTTGTCGCCTCCCCTCTCGTTTCCTGTCCTCCCGCTGTGTCGTTTCTGCGCTTTGGGCCCGTCGTTGCTTCCCCCTCGGCCTCGTCTTCCTCCTCCTCTCCCTCGTTCCCTCGTCGCCCTCCTAAAATCAGAAATCCGCCGTAACAGCCGGAGTCGGCTATATATATATATATATATATCATGAACGTGTATACGTATAGATGTTAGCCAGCGAGGGCCCAGAGCAGGTAAGTCCGAATTAGGTGATGCAGCTCGTGTGGTCACCTTGTTCAAAGCGATGCAAATCATTTCAAAGCAACGCACAGCAGCGCAAACAAATCAACTCAATGCAAAATCAGCGTAATGCGATTGCGAAGCAATGTGAATCAACGTGCTGCGATTGCAAAACACGGCGACATATTGCAAATCAGTGACCATTTCAAAGTAACGCAACACCATGCGACGCAACGCAACGCAATGCAATCCAATGAGATTGCAAATCAACGCACAACAGTGCAACTCAATGCACATAACTGCAAACCAATGCAACCATATGCAACGCAGTGCGAAGCAATGCGAAACACGTAGCGGCTGCTGTATATTGTTTCGCCGATCGGCGCGGGCTCCTGACACCCCCCTTCCCCCATTTCCATGGACAAGAGATTGGCTTCTTTTGGTCACTGAGCAAGACCCCCTTCATCCTGCTTTTGCGATTGGTAACAGCAGGTCGGCTAAGCATTGACCCTGACCCAGACCCCCCCTCCCACACCCTTTGGCCAAATTCCGAAACCCAGATTGAATCAGACGTTTACCAACGCACAGCAATGCTAGGCAACGCCAGCCAGTGTACAGCAATGTGCATCACTTCAACGCAACACAACGCAATGCAATGCGGTGTAATTTCAAGCTATGCAAAGCAATTCGATGTGACGCAATGCGCAGTAACGCAAAGCAGCGCAATCCAACACACAGCAACGCCAAGCAATGCAAAACCATGCAATGATATGCGCATCGATGCGACGCAATGCGACGTAATGGACAGCATAACAAAGGAATGCAGAGCACGAGCCTCGCACAACCACTATCGTGACCAAGGATGGCGGCGATGGGTGGCGACGGGCGGTCACGAGCTGGCTGGCCCGACAACGGGGCCCAACTCAGCAGAAGAGAGGTAAGACCAGCATTCCGCATTGGGCATATGAGTGGCACGCGTGCCCCGGCCTTTGCTCGGAGGGGGGTCGCGGGCCAGGCGAGGCGGGGCGAGGAGGGGGGGCGGGTTCACAGGGCCATCCTCTCGGCATCGCTCGGACGCGTGCGTTTCTTCTCGGCGGGGGCCATCGAGGATCATCCCTGATCATCGGGCGGCAAAACAGGCAGGCACGACGCCGACAGATGCACAGGGAGTGGATGTCCGAGTGACGGCACGTGCTGATGTTCTCCCAGGGCCATCATGGTTATCACGAGGAGGCAGGGGAAGGCGGGTCCCGGGGGGGGGGGGGCGAGGAACGACTCCACGAACGACGACGAACACCAAAGGGCTCCGAGCTTTAGATCAGGGCTGGACCTAAACGGTGTTTTTGCGATTTCGTGGGCTGTTTTCGTTTCGACCTCGTTTTTCGGTAGAGGCGGATTGAAGACAAAACTTTGGATTCGTTCTTTTGCCAATCGGCGCGGGCCCCCCAGACCCCCCCCTCCCCCTCCCCCCTGGAGTAGATCTCGGCTGTTTTTAGGTGCCTGTTTCGAGCAGGTCCAGTCTCCCACAATGGACACACTTGTGCAAACAGTGGCACTAAGCAGAGGTCCAGAGCGAGATCCCCCCTCCCCTCCCTTTTCCGCCCAATGTCGAAACGCCGGGTAACAAATTAGGTTATCGAGGAACCTCACATCCGTTGTTTCACTCTTGTGTGCACCACACTATCACCACCGCGGCCCTCATCGTCCATCCTCCTCCCACCGTTTCTCATTCCCTGCTTTCCTCCGCTCTCCTGGGTGAGCTCCCTCGCCCTCATCGTCAATCCTCCTCCCACCGTTTCTCCTCCTCCTCCTCCTCCTTCTCCGCCTCCGCATCGACCGCCCTGGACGACCGTCACGGATAGCGGTCGCCCTCAGAGACCACGTGCGCCATATGGTGTCGAGAAAACGCAATGCCTGCTGTGCCCTGGACGACCGTCACGGACAGCGCCCGCGGTGAGAGACCACGCTTTGCGCACCCCTTGTGTTGTCGAGAATGTGCCACGCTTGCCACGCTTTGCGAGCCCGCAACGGATAGGGAGACCACCCCGGCGCACCCCGTTATGGCATCGAGAATATGCCATGCCTGCCACGCTCTCCGACCCTGGCAGGCATAGAGGCCGCGCTGAGAGACCACGCCCTGCGACTACCCCCTACGGAGTCGAGAATATGCCATGCCTGCTGTGCCATGGGCGACCGTCACGGGTAGCGGCCGCGGTGAGAGACCACCTTGCGCGTACCCCTTACGGTGTCGAGACTATGCCATGCTTGTTGTGCCATGGATGACCGTCCCAGGTAGCGGCCGCGGTGAGAGACCACGACTTGCGCACCCCATATGGTGTCGAGAATATGCCGTGCCTGCTGTGCCATGGACGACCGTCACGGATAGCGGCCGCGGTGAGAAAACCACGCCTTGCGCACCCCTTATGGTGTCGACAATCTGCCATGCCTGCTGTGCCCTGGACGACAGCGGCCGCGGTGAGAGACCACGCCTTGCGCACCCCCATGTGGTGCCGAGAATATGCCATGCCTGGTGTGCCCTGGACGACCGTCACGGAGAGCGGCCGCGGTGAGAGACCACGCCCTGCGCACCCCCTACGGTGTCGAGAATTTGCCATGCCTGCTGTGCCATGGACGACCGTCACGGATAGCGCCCCCGGTGAGAGACCACCTTTTTTTCACCCCCCCGAATGGTGTCGAGAATCTGCTATGTTTGCTGTGCCATGGGCGACCGTCACAGGTAGCAGCCGCGGTGAGAGACCACGACCTGCGCACACCGTGTGGTGTCGAAAATATGTCACCCCGACTGTTCTCAGGACGACGTGTCACGGATAGCGTCCGCGGTGAGAGACCACGCCCTTCGCACCCCCTTTATGATGTCGACAATATGACATGTCTGCTGTGCCCTGGGCGATCGTCACGGATAGCGCCCGCGGTGAGAGACCACCCCCTGCGATCTCTCTTATGGTGTCGAGAATCTGCTTTGCCTGGTGTGCCATGGACGACCGTCACGGATAGCGGCCGCGGTGAGAGACCACGCCTTGCGCACCCCTTGTGGTGACGAGAGTATGCCACGCCTGCTGTGCCATGGCGACCGTCACGGATAGCGCCCGCGGTGAGAGACCATCCTTGTTTCGCACCCCCCGAATGGTGTCGAGAGTCTGCCATGTTTGTTGTGCCATGGGCGACCGTCACGGGTAGCGGCCGCGGTGAGAGACCACCCCGTGCGCACCCTTATGGTGTCGACAATCTTCCATGCTTGCTGTGCCTTGGACGACCGTCACGGATAGCGGCCACGGTGAGAGACCACGAATTGCGCACCCCATATGGTGTCGAGCATATGCCATGCCTGCTGTGCCATGGACGACCGTCACGGATAGCGGCCGCGCACCCCCTATGGTGTCGACAATTTGCCATGCCTGCTGCGCCCTGGATGACCGTCACGGATAACGTCCTCGGTGAGAGACCACCCCTTGCGCACCCCGTTATGGTGTCGAGCATATGCCTTGCCTTCTGTGTCATGGACGACCGTCACGGATAGCGGCCGCGCACCCCCTATGGAGTCGAGAATATGCCACGATTGCTCTGCCCTTGACGACCGTCACGGATAGCGGCGCGGTGAGAGACCACGCCCTGCGCACCCCCTTTTATGGTTTCGAGAGTATGCCCCGCTTGCCGTGCCCTGCGCCATGGCCCGCAGAGAGTCTCTTGCCATTGACTGCGAATCCTACAGTCATGTCTTGTATAAGGCATGTCGCGTGTATGTGAATGATTATTGTGCGGCCGTACCTGGACGTGTGCTCCATGTTGGTGCCCAGAATCTTGTGCATGCGTCTTCGGTGTGTGATGCAGTGAACACGCCAGGCGTGCACTAGCGTTGTATGGTGTGTGTGTGTGTGTGTTTGCGAGTGTTGTATGCTGCGTGTCTGCTGGCGGGTGTCATGTGTATGATGCGTGTGCGGCTGTATGTGAGCGTGTGTCTCATGTGTATGTGGGCATGTGGGCGCGAGGTGCAGAGGGAAGAGGAGGAGGAACGCGGGTGAGGCGCGGCAGAGAAGAAAACCACCCAATAAACATGTGGGAAAACAATAACCCCATTAAGCATGTGGTGAAGTGGAGGAGGGGACGAAGGAGGAGGGAGGGGAGGTGTGTGTGCGGGAGACGCGGGTGCGACGCAGCAGGGATGAAAGCCATAACCCCACGAAACATGTGGGGATGAACGCCATAAGCCCAATGTCGAAGCGCCGAATAAAGCAACAAAAACGCTCACCTGCCGCTCCCGGACACGGCCTTGCCTCGGTCCCCCCGCCCCTGGGGGCGGCTCGCCGACCACGGCCGCCCAGCGAACCCGAGCGGCCCAGCACGCCCGACGCCGGCGGCGCCGCGGACCCTGGGCTGGCGCGCACCGCCTCGCAGGCCTCGCAGGAGCCTTTCGGGGGTGGGGGGAGGGGGGAGGCGGAGGAGGGGGAGGGGGAGGAGGAGGGGGGGGGGAGGGGGAGGGGGAGGAAGAGGAGGGGGAGGGGGAGAAGGGGGAGCGGGGCACGAGGAGGAGGGGTGAGGAAGGAGAGGAAAGCACGAGGAGGGCGGGGAGGGCTCGAGCGGGGGGCAGGGCGCGCGGCACGAGGAGAAGGTGGAGGGGCCGAGGCCGAGGCAGAGGGCGAGGCCGAGGGCGTGGCGCACATTTGGGGCAGGGCTTGACCTAAACGGTGTTTTGCTGGACTTCGGCTGTGTTTTGTTTTTTCGTTTTGGCGTGGGGGTACAGGAAAACAGGTAGAGTAAACAAACAACAACACGAAACCAACACGAAAAACAACGTTTAGGTCCAGCCCTGATTTGAAGTAGCGGCAGGGGGGGCGATGGTCTCAGGGAGTACTCTGGGTTTCTTAATAAGCGCGGGGGTACCCCACCGACGGGGGTCAACCTCGCCTCGTCGTCGCGCCGCGACGGGGGTTGGATCGCCTTCGGCGCGCGGTGGCTGCCCGAGACGGGGGTCGATGTGGGGCTGTCGGCGGGGGTGACGCCCGCCCGACGTTTATTTCAGAAACTCGGAGTAGGCGGGTAGGTCACCACTCACCAAACCACCCCAACCCAACCCGAAGGCCTCAATTTGTCCTCCATTGCCAGCGGGGGGGGGGTCGGGGAGCATTGAAAAAGCACATGGAACCCGTCCCCCCCCCAACCCGAAATTCGGGTCAAATTCGGGTCTTGTAGGTAGTCAGTAGGCTGAGGTTTTCGCGCGACTTCGTCAGTCCATGGCAGTCTTCCAGCCTTGGGGTTCTTTATTGTGGCTGCGCCTCGCCGAGAGCGTTCCGGAGGGGGGGGGGGCACGCATCAGGCGCGGGGAGGGTCGAGGGACTCAGATTCGGGTCGTGAGACTCGTGGGCCACGTCAGTTTAGGCCTTCCAGATAGGGTCCGAGCAGATGATGGGTCGGTGGATCGTCGCATCGCCGATGCGTCGGCGATGTGGCTCGATGTGGATCTCGATTTTCTTTACGCCGACGTCGCCCACGTCGCCGATGCACGCCGACGTCGCCGATGCATCGGCGACGTGGTGCGATCGTGTGCTAGGACCCCATGTGGGAGGCGTCTAGTTCGGCGGGGACAGCCAACGACAGGTGGGAGGGGGGACTGCAGATTCTGGGGAATTCGGGAGCTTTCGAGGCCCCGGGTGGCTTCCATCAGCTGCGCCTCGTGTTGCCCCGAGCGGCCGCCAGAGAGCCGAGTCATGACCCGAAGGCCAGGGGCAACGGCATATAGCTCCAATGCAATCACACGGGGTTGTTGGGGAATCGCTTTTCTCTTCCCACCTACCTCCCTCCTCCTCCCCCTCCTTCCCCCCGGGGGGGCCCCCAAGTGTGGGGTCGGGCTTCGGCCCCCTGGCGGAGGCGGGGACCGCGGGGCCCTCGGGGCGACAAGCCCCCGCACCCCGGGGGACGCCGCCAAAGTGCGCCGGGGGGGTCGCCAGGACCCGTGGGCTCCCCCAGGGCGGTGCTGGATCCCCCCCCCAGCGCTCGCCGCCATGGGGCGGGACCGGCGGCTCGTCTCTGTCGTGTCGTTCGTCCGTGTCGTGTCGTGCGTGTCGTGTCGTGGCCGTTGCGCCCCCCCGTCGTGTCGTGTCGTGTCGTGCCGCTTTTTGGTTCGGTCCTGGGTGGCCTGGGGTCCGAAACCTGGGTCCCTTGGGGCGGGTGGCGCGGCGCCGTCTTTTGGCGGCGCCGCGCAGCCCGTCCTTTGGGACCCCCGTCGTTTTCCCCGTGTAGTTCGGTCGGGCTCGCCCGCCGGCCGCGCGCACGGGGCGCCGCGCCGCCGCGGCCGGCGCGGCGACACCCTGCGGGCTGAAGGCTGCGTGTTGCGAAAAAAATCCTCTCCCTCCTTCCTCCCTCCTCCTCCTCGAGCGAGGACAGCTCGGGGCTCCCGCAATGGGGGGCCATCCGACGTCTCCTGACGCGCACTGTAATTCGCACGTGTCCGAGGATGCAGTCTCGATGTGTGTTCTGTTCGATGCAAGCGGTCTTCGGCCCGGCGCCGTTCCGTTGCCGCCGCGCGTCTCCTCCTCCTCTTCCTCCATCCGCCCTTTATCTCTTTCGCCTCCCCCATTCTCCTTCTCTTCTCACCCTCGCGGTTGTTGCTAAGATCGGCCCTGCATAAGCGTGACGAGGATACCTTCACTGGAGGCCTTCAAACCAGCAGTTTCAGTTGAAGGTTGTGTAGGACGGGACCCGTGTTGTCGGGATCGGGGGGCCTGGGCTTCTCGCGAGCAGTGCTCGCTGCGATGGCCCCCATGCTTTCCCACTGGTGCCAACGCAGGCTGCGCCAACACGATCCCGATTTTTGTTCCGGGTGGCTAGCCTGCGGCGGGCTAAGCGTGCTCTTTCACCGTCGTTTGTGCTGCCCATCGCGCCAGGCGTGGCGCAGGGATAATCTACCGCAGTTCCTTGAAAACCCAGTCAGGAGGCTTTCGCGTTGCAGTATGGAGCTTCAGGACAGATTTTCGCGAGGGATTCTGCTGGACCCTTGCCAACTTTTTGTCCAGGAGATTTCGGGATTATTTCACGGAGTTTCAGGTCGACGGAGGCTCAGCGGGGCCAGTCATGTTGTCGAACGTTCACATTTTCAGCCTCGGCTCGTGGGTCGATTTGTTTTCCCACACACTTTCATAGGGCTTCCTTTTTTCCCTATGTATCCAGCACAGAAGCCTTTTTCACCCCCTCCTCGCCGTCATGATCACGCTCATCAGCATCATCACTATAATCAACATCATCATAATCAGCCTTACCAGCATCGTCATCATCAACGTCATCCGTGCCATCATAGCAGTTATCATTATGATCATCATTTTCACCATGCTCATCATATCACACAATCGCTTTCAGCACACTCCCTTTTGCCAGTTTCGATTATAAACGAACATGGCCATCATCATCGTCATACTGTCAATGTCATTTCCCACATTAACTCACATTCATCAGCATCACCACCATCAGTATCGCCAGCATCATCACTATCATTTTCTCACCATCGTCGTCATCATTTTCACCTATCATCACCCTTGCCATTCATCGCCATCACCGTTACAGGGCGATCCACTGGATATACACCATCATCCTGATCACCATCATCATCAGCCGCAATACCATCATTATTATCATCAGTTTCATCAGCTTCACCATCACCATCACCATCATCATCACCCGTATTTTTGATTTGATTGGTATCATCGGTATCATTGCAGTTATCATGTTCCTCCCCATAATCCTTCGCAGAAAATCCAGCATTATCATTATGATCATCATCGCTACCGTTACCATTATCATATTCCTTATCAGTACCATTCCCAATTCCATTATCATTGCAAGTCTCCTTATCATTATTGTTGCCATTGTCATAATCACTGCCATCATCGCCGGCATCATCATCATCATCAACAACATCAACATCAACATCAACACTGACGTCACTTGTGGCCTTTTCAAGCTTGAGCGTGCAGGAAGTCGCAGGCGGGAGCCTCATCTGTGAGTGAATTGTGAGGAAGTCATTTGGCGGCGCGCAGTAGAGGGTGGAAGGAGGGGGGAACGTTTCTTAGAAGTAGGCTGCTTCCAGGAAGGCGCCAGCCTGACATATATAGTCAAGGACCGCGTTTTCTAAGAAGCAGGGGGTGTTTCTAAGAAGCCCTCCCTCCCCCCTCCCCCCACCCCCGTTTTCCCCCTGGCTGAGTCTTAGGCGGGCGCCCCCTTCCGCTGGTTCCCGCAGGTCATACTACAAATCCGAGCGTGTCATCGGGATCCTGTACCTGTCGTCACTTTCGGGTTCCTCAGGCTTCAATATTGAGGAAGTCTCAAGCGAGAGCCTTGTTTGTGAAGGATTGCGAGGAAGTCTCAGGCTGGAGCCCCCTCCCTATGGGGCCTGCAACTCATGTTACTAATCCGAGAGGGTCACCGGGCTCTTGCAACCGTTTCACTTGTGCCTCCTCACGCTTGAGCATGCAGGAAGTCTTAGGCGAGAGCCTCATCTGTGAGTGAATTTTGAGGAAGTCTCAGGCGGAAGCGCCCTCCCTGTGGTGCCCGCAGCTCATATTACAAATCCGAGTTGGTCATCGGGATCCTGTAACCTCCGTCAGTATTGGCTTCTTCATGCTTGAGTACGGAGGAAGTCTCAGGTGGGAGTTTCGTCTGTGAATGAATTGTGAGGCAGTCTCGAGCGGGAACCCTTCCCTATGCGGCCCGCACTTCTGGTTGGTAATCCGAGGCTGCCATCCGAAACCTAATAGGTGTCGTCAGTTTGGGGCTCCTCAGGCTTGATGAATATGGAGGATGTCTCGAGGGGGAGCCTCGCCTGTGAGAGAATCGCGAGGGCGTCTCGAGCGGGAACCCCTCCCTATGGGGTCACAACCTCCACGTTCGAATCCAAGCGGCTTCGGAAGACCTCCAATTATCGTCACGTTTGAGCTCCTCCGGCTTGAATATGGAGGAATTCTCGAGTGGGAGCCTCGCCTGTGAGAGACTCCGCGAGGAAATCTCGAGCGGGAGCCCCTCCCTATGGGGCGTCCACTTCCCACCTCCATGTTTAAATCCGGGCGGGTTTAGGTCACTTTTCGGCTCCTCAGGCTTGGCAAGAACATGTTTTCTCCATATCCACTCAAGGATGGGGTTTTTGTTATTCCCAATATCCAAAGGATGGGGTTCTTGTTATTCTCTGACCGAGCCGGACCCCTCATCATCATCCCTCCACTCTCTCCTCCCTCTCTGCACTAGACGATGATGATGCGTGTCATGATAATGACGATGCTTGTAGTGAGAGTATGATGTGAGTATGATGGTGATGGTGAACGACGGATGGGTATGATGATGATGATGCTGATGATGATGATGATGGTGGTGGTGGTGGCGACGATGATGATGATGATGATGATGATGATGATGATGATGATGA